TGGTGTGAGAAAGTGGTCTAGTTTCAACCTTCTGCATGTTGCTGTCCAGTTCTCCCAGCACCATTTGTTAAAGAGACTGTCTTTTTTCCATTGGATGTTCTTTCCTGCTTTGTCAAAGATGAGTTGGCCATACGTTTGTGGGTCTAGTTCTGGGGTTTCTATTCTATTCCATTGGTCTATGTGTCTGTTTTTGTGCCATAAAATTTTTTTAATGTTTATTTATTTTTGAGAGCAGAGAGAGACAGAGCATGAGTGGGGGAGGGACAGAGAGAGAAGGAGGCATAGAATCTGAAGCAGGCCCCAGACTCTGAGCTGTCAGCACAGAGCCTGGCGTGGGGCTTGAACTCACAGACCATGAAATCATGAACCAAAGTCAGATGCTTAACCAACTGAGACACCCAGGTGTCCCCCCCCCCTGCTTTTTTTTAAATTTTTTTAAAAGAGTCGTAGATAAATTTTAAATGTATATTCTAACAGAGGCCATTTCTTCTGATGGTTGTTTTACCCTGATAGACTAAAGTTTCTGGTAGCATTTGGCATCAAGGTAGGGATCTTGCCAAACGTTCTAGTTAGCTTTGAGGCAGCCTGATGTGATGAGTTCTAGCCTCAGAAACTTATTAATTGGAATTTTACTGTGGCTGTTTATTCTCCCCCATTTATGTATTTGATTACTTATTTATATCCATATAGAATCATAGGTATTTATTTTATTCTATGGGCTAACATCCAATGCTATCGTTATTTGTTTTATTGCTCAGATTATTCCTGTTTTGTCCAATAGGCTCTCCTTCAGGGTGATTTTATGTTCTTCAATACACCCTCTAGTTTGTTTGTTTTTTCACCCTCCAGTTTTTAAGCATTTCTACAGAATGTTCCACACCCATTTTGTATTTTCCTCTCCCCAGTTCTAGAATCAACCATATCTCAAAAGAGCCCTGATTTTTTTATTGGAAAATAGTGTTTAGAAACCCAATCTGGGGGGCGCCTGGGTGGCGCAGTCGGTTAAGCGTCCGACTTCAGCCAGGTCACGATCTCGCGGTCCGTGAGTTCGAGCCCCGCGTCGGGCTCTGGGCTGATGGCTCAGAGCCTGGAGCCTGTTTCCGATTCTGTGTCTCCCTCTCTCTCTCTGCCCCTCCCCCGTTCATGCT